ATACATATACTGTATATCTACGCTTTCAAGTACAAACATGATGACCTAAATATGTATATATGTTATATATAAGTATAAACACACCTGTATGAGACCACAGACAGATCACATGTATCTGCTCTCTTTGGAATAGCAAGGAAGATAAAAGAACTTCATAACGAAATGGAACGAAATGAAAAGCTATGACCTACACTCTCTCTGTGAGTAGCAGAAGCATGGAACACACAGACTGAGGTGAACTGAAATTGATTTCTCTAAGAAAAGCCCACGGCAGAAAGCGGCGCAGTGTGTGAGCAGGTCCAGGCACAGAGAAGCAGGGTCTCTTAGGGTGCTGTCACGAAGCGTTCTTTCAGGGCCCTATGCAGACAACACAATCCGGGGGGCAGTGAAGAAAACACGGGGAAAGAGGCATGCAAGGGGCTGGAAGGAAAACAGGGGGGGTGTCCACGGTGCGTTGGTGTTCGGAGGAGGTGTGGCTGAGGCAAACAGTCCAAAGTTACTTTCGAGTCCGAGGCAAATCCATGAATGAAGCAAGTGTCCAAAACCAGGTAACCCATCCTGACAGACAAACGGAGTTAAAAACCGGATCGGGGGGATAAAAATGGGGTAACTGGACCAGACGCTCCCTGATCCTGGACCCAGATGGTCAGGACGCCATTGTGTCGTTCTTGGACTGGCGGGTAGGCGGGCGTCCATGTTTCAGAGCTGAGCCCCGATAGGCAGGAACGTCCGGTTTATATGACATGGGGGTCTGGAACCGGAGGCAGGGGCAGGAGATGAGTATAAACAAGGTAGGGCTGGAGCGCCCTTAAGAGGAGGGGTTTACGATCGTGACAGGTGCGTGCTATGCGTAAAGAAAGCTCACACAGTGACTGTTCTGCCTTCAGACCCCAAAACATTCTGTTCGCAGCGTCAAAACTAGTTCACTCATAAAATGGCGTTAAGTAATTTTGTATCATGGGTTGCTTGGATATGAATCGTTAACTGACATAACCTCCTGAAGTCAGTCACTGATAAAACGCAGTCATTTTTTAATCAGGGCTTAAGGATTGCGTCTGGATAAAATAAATGGCGAAAGTGCCTAATTAAAACATTTTGTTGCAGATTTGAGGGGATTGCAAGTGCAGAAAACCACTCGCAGACGAACTTCACAAAAACACTTTGCTCACGAACTTCACAAAAAACACTTTGCTCGTGCTCATTTGCAGATTCAACATTCATACAACATGCTAAAGGAAGTGTGATGATTTGGAACCTTGTGAATCTTATATCCACAGATTTCCATGACTCTTTCCTTCTCATCAGTCAAGGCCTCTTGAAAAGTTATCCATCTCTTACACTACACCATACTGCATGGGTTGTAATAACAAACCAATCCAGGGCCCAGTCATTCAGTCTATTTCCATCTGCACTATGTGGCCCTGCTCGGCCACTCCGATACTTTACAGAATTTTGAAAGTCTCTGACAGTTCTGATAAAACCTACCTTGGCACAGACCAAGACAAAAGATGAAGGCTTATTTTACAGCGCGTGACTGCTGAACAAGACAAATCAAATAGAAAAAATCCATAAGCCTTTCTTTTTGCTTTGCTGTTGGTGTTCAAGGTATGTCATTGATAAAACACAAAAGAAAAAATGTGTAGTGAATATTGTGACTTGCCAGGCCAAAGATGCTTAAAAATGAAAGTTTTTCTCATTTACTCCATGACTATATTATAAAGAAGACAGTAAAGGCCTTGCTGAAAAGGTGTGCAGAGGAAGAGTGCAAGTTTTAAATTAACCGCTTACCCAGGGTCATGCTGTCTTAATAAAATCACATACTCTATGTCAAACCTAGTTACTTTTGATAAAAAAAACAATAAAAAGCTCTAAAAACTGAAAGTAAATGAATATTCTCAAGGGCTGACACTGGTTTTCATCATAATAGCTTCATCTATCTGCTAATGTTCTGCCTAGTTTTTAAAAACTGAAGTAAATTACGAATCATTCATTAAAAAAAAAAGATGTTACTGTGATATGAGCTGATGAATTCATCTCAGGTTCCAGAATTAATGAGAGTGGGACCTGGAATAAGAGCTGCGCAGGAAAGGTATCTGTGTTCTATTAAAAGAAATGAAAAAAATGGTTGAGCTGACTAAGGCATTTTTTAATAAGTAGAAAAGTTCTACAGACCCTGTTTCACACAGCCTCTAACTTTTCTGAATGCCGAGATCTACTTAGCACAGCTGGTACAGAATATCCTGGTGTCAATGATACCACTATGAAAACATGATGATTTTTTTTTTCTTAACCATAGCTTTGGGGCTCACAGGAGAAGGGAAAATTCAAACTAGAACATGAGTACCAAACGTCACCATCCAATCAGACTCCACAAGCATGCAGAAATGTTGCAAAAAGTGCACATCCAGTGCCTTATACAGTACATGCACACAAACACATATGATTCATAGATGGACCTAACAGAGAAAGTCCTCTTTTTTCACAGCCCTTGGCCTTATTTCAAGTTATACTATATAAGCTGTTCTTAATCGAATGCAAATCTTTACATCTATTACTTACTATGACTGTCAATGCAGATCTACTCAGAAAACACATATGACATATCGATCATTTAGTCTTGGGTTACACTGAAGAGCACACAGGTTGTAAAGCCTGAAGGAGATCAAACTGCAGTGCACCGAGTGTCTTATTTCTACCCATATAGACTATATATATGCACTCAGGAAGGTGCTTATTCCCGGTAAGGGTGGGGGGAGCCCACAGCCTTTCCTGGAAGCACAGGCAGCAAGGCGGGAGTACTGGATGTTACGGACAGCATTCCCAGTCTCAGGGCATACAAGTGTGCACACAAGCAGAGAAACACTGCGGGACAATCTCGAGAGACCAGTTTACCACAGCCACGTGATACAGGAAGGTGTGTAGAAACCAAAGCTTCTGGCTAAGAACTACAGGGGCACAAGATGCATGCAAAGACAACACAGAAGACAGATCAGTCCAGAATTAATCCAAAGCAGTAAGGCAGCAGTGCTCACAACGAGAGCATCAAGCTACGGTATATAGCATGCAGACACTACTGTATATGAGAGTGATTAGTATAGTGACATCCAGGTGGGGCTACACACTGGTGGTGCTGGAGAAGCCCCCATTACCTGTAAAACATTTTGAGAGGAGTGTCCAGAAAAGCCACACGTAAGTGCAAGGGTTATTATTTCTTATAATGGCAATTGCATTTAGCATATAAAACAAGGCATCTCAGTTGCAAAATTCTGGGCCCCTTTGTAAGGATCAAGCGAGATGTCAGCCAGCTGTAGGGATGAACCATCACTGTATCCATTGAGAGCACAGCCAGCAGCCACCCTTACTTCCCCCTCCTGAGGGACAGAAAGACAGCCCAACAGGGTTCGATCTCTCATCATCACAGGAGTGGAAATGTCCGCTTTTACACACAATAGAGACGGATCAGAGAAAGAGAAAACCACACTGAGCTGCTGGGAAAACAGCGTAAAATAAATAACAAAATAATGGCTCGGCTTTTTCTGCACTTCCAAATCCTACAAAGAAGTGGTAATGGATGTCTGAGGGGTTTGGAATTATATTTCAAACGAAACCTTACTCTGCTGCTAATCTCCTCCTCAAACAGCTTACAGCTCCATTTCTTGAAGGTCTCTCGTACTGTAGATGGCAGATTGTATCCATAAAAAGTAACCAGAACAGATGAATATCATTAATGCTTAGCTCGTGTTTACTCCCTCTGCACTGAGACAAGCTATGAAGGCTCTTCATTGATCGTGGACAGCTCGGGAAGAGAAAGCAGATAACGTCAAAACAGGAACAAAGCACCCCAGCTCCCACAATGCCTGTTTTTGTCACTCCCAGGTGCTCTCCCAGGTTTCAAAGTGCCTCCATGTCACCATAAGCGCACACACAGAAATCTAGCTCACTGAATCAAGCTGCTTTCAAGACACACCGTGTGTTTCTTGTTATTCTCTGGGGCAGCAGCACAACAACCTCCCTCTGCGTGACAATTGTGATAAATGCTTCCTACATCTGACCGTTGGGCGCTCCGCGGGAAAAAAAAAAAGAAAGAAACGGAGATGTACTAATGTGGAGGAGTGCAGGATGGACTACAGATAAAACTCCTGCTATCTTGTTAATTCCACGCAAGCCGTCCCTCATCATAAGTCCTTTTGTTCTTTGGAAATGCCTGTGCAGTACTTTTCTGGGCTCCTGATGATGTTGCCTCTATGTGCGTTCACCAGCCTAATTAGTCTTTTGTCCTTATGGAACTGCTTATCCACAGGGAGCCCAGCCCGCAGTGTCTCTGACCCAGCAAGCTGAGGTTTTAGTGCTGTGCAAGGAAACAGCTCACGGCCCCGTCGATACAAGAGAAAAAAGGCGAGGCTGCAAGAGACCGCTGCACCTTTCCCGTTATAAGCATCAATATAAGAAACCATTACAGAAAAGAACCCCTGCTTAAAGTGGCACTTTCTGTGATGACACTCATTCACAGGAGAAAGATCATCATCCTGGGCTGTTGCCTTGGGTCCGTAAGGTAATTGGGATTGTAACTACAAGCCATTTCCAAAATCACACGCTTGGCCACGTGTATGGCGGTGCTGAAGACAGGGGGAAGGGACATGAAAGGAAACTCAGAAAACAGGCAATCAACGCGATCATCATCGGATCTGTAAAAGCAACCTCACTGAACGCTGGTTCCCTTTGTGCACAAGAACCCACAGTGCTGTACGCTGAGCCGGGGGGGTGGGGTCCGAGTTTGCAATTCAGGTGGTGTTTCTGCACTAAGCCAGTACTGGAATGGTCATTACCCCAGGTGCAGTCCCTCAGTTCTCTAAACTGGATTTAAACCTGGGACCCCAACAAGAGAAAAGCAGTCTAAAGAACAATAATCAACACTCTGCGCCACACATACTTTGTTTGAATGGTAGCTGGAAAGGAAACAATAACATTCTTGTAAATTGATTCCCCCCCCCCCCACTTACCAGTATTTCTGAGTTCCTTTCTGTCTCTGCCTCAACGCCAGCCCCACTGTCGACTAAAAGAAAAAAAGAAAAAAAAGCCAGCTATTACCGTAATGAAGACGGATAACAAAATCAACACGCAGCCATTCAGAGCACACCAGAGGACAGGTCAGGTTTCAGCTTGTCTGTCACGGCAAATCAGGGTGTTAACAGACGCAGTTGTAACAAGATTACCATTCAGGAGCCACGTTTTACTTTTAATGGATCTTTAAAAGGTCCTTTGAAATAATAATTGCAGACTAACAGTAGTGGCGAAGCTCATCAATAGCACTGCACCAATTCTGCAATTAGCACAAAATAAGTGGATGTTAATTACCAACCAGCAGTACAGAGAAGTGGGATGATGAAGAAAAGAAATATAGGATAAGAATAGTGTTGTTAATTTAATAATACAAATAAGCACATTGTATTATTTACCCTTACTATAGGGTTAGCATTTTTGCACCAGCAGATATTTGCGCAAAGATCATTTTGAATCGAAAACCTTTGAGGAAAAAGAATAAAGGAAAATAATTCTTGGATGTTTTAAGATATTTGAAAATTCCTTCCGGGATTTTAAGATATTTGAAAATTCCTTCTGGGATTTAAAAAGCAAAAAGGAGGTCATGCCCTTGGGGGAAAAAAACAGACTTGTACTCTTATTACATCACTTAGAACTTCAGTAATCGCTGAATTTAAGGTTATGTACATTTACATCATAAGTTAAGACAATCAAAAGAGTTCTTACATTTGACTTTTTGTAAAAACCTCATGCAGGTCCCATTCCTAAGGTTGGACGACCAGCACACACAACTGGGCTCACTCTTCCACAGCCAGTCTTCCCTACACTGGAAGATACATGCTCCCTGTCTCTTCCATGACCTACTGGCGCCCAGTTTCCAACTTTAAACTCTACTGATCGACTACACTATAAAGACTAGTTTGAAATCTCTGTAATCCAGGGATTCAGGACATAGTAGAGAAACTTCTAAATTCTCTCTGTGGATCCATCTTTCTTTTTTAAATCCACCCATAACTAAATCCGTGCAAGTCTTCATTAGCTCAATCCATCCTCTCAAACTTGAACTATACTGGACCTAGGACCGTCTGGCTGCTGATGTTAAAACACAGGAGGGTAAACTCTCTACAATTCAGGATTTAACTAACACACTTTCCCTACCTGAACTGAAGAATCTTAGACTCAGCTCCCTGCCCTCTGCACCTGACTGCTGTTGTAGTGACTGCTGCTACTCCTGAGGAATTTCCCAGTTAAGCACAGGGCAGTCAGGCGATCCCTTTTCTGCCATTGGAATTCCATTCCAGAGTCCAATCACTCACTCAAGGCAGGTGTGTCCAATGTACTGCCGAGAAGGAAGAGGCCTTAACAAAGCCACAGCTTTTTCCATCAAAGTGAGCATTCAAGGAAGCAGGGTTATAAAAAGAGTAACAGGACCCCCTTCCATGACTTGTTGGTACTGTACATGGCTCACAGCCAAAATGCTCTCTGTTGTTGATGCTTCTTTTCCAGTGGCTATTTGCACATCTGCAGAGAGTTTATTTTTAAAGAATGCTTCATTCTCCACCCACTGTTTGATTAAATTGAATGTCATCTCGTCTGTCCCTGCAGAAAAGCAGTGACATATCATGTTTATTCATGTTGAGCAGGCTGGGTGAAGTAAACTAAGGAAAACTCCTCGCTGTTCATGCTCTGCTTACATGCTTGTGCTATTATATTATTATATTATTGTATTATTATTATATTATTTTTTGCATCTTGTCTCTCCCTGTACAAAAAATGACAGTACTTAACACGTTCGTTCATGTTGATTCAAAGTGGTCAAAGTAAACTAAATAAGGTAAACTTGGAGATAATTCCAAGCTTTGTACTATTAAATATAAAATATTCCATGCAGAAAATACATGGTAATTCCCAGATTCACAAATATTCCTCAGTCAAAATCGGGTGACGAAAGCTTAGTATCAACACTTCATACCTAGAATACATACAGTATGAATCTAAAGTAGTTTAATGAAATGTTGTTTTTACATAAATATTATGAGTTTTAAAACAGTAACAAAAGTTCAGTTTTACTAACGGGAATATTTTATTCTCCATGGCAACCTCTCCCTGCTTTGATAGGTTGGAAAATGAATGGTCACCAGTATGCAAGGAATTGGGGGAACTGTAATTCCTTTTAGCAAAGTCTGCCCCCAGCATTGGGGGGCGCTTTTGAGCACTGTGAACACCCCTGCAGACCTGAGCAGGAACACGCATATGAAGAGCTCAAGACCGCAAGTGTGCATACTGGGACATGGGCCCAGTCCTGTTTGTATTCACGCACACGTGTCAACAACTGCTTATCATCTCGTGCTTTTCCCTGAATATTAAATTACTCTTATCACAATCATGTCAGGGAAGCATCCCACTGATTTCATTATGTATGGTATTTACTGTTCATTTTATTTTGTTTAATCACTGAACAGTACAGTTTAGGGTAATGAAATTCACAGTACAGTATCATTTGTTAAAAGGCAGTTCTTGCCAATGTTTAATTTATTTATTGTACTGTATATTTTTAAATGTAGGCTATATTTGGTGTTTAATTATTGAGTATTACTTATGAACTATCATTGTTAGGCCTTAAATTTATTTCAAGCTCAGTGCACTGTGCGTAGCATTTTAAGCAGCTTACATATTTATAAAAAACATGTGATCCTATTCATTCTCAAGCATTTAAAAACATTTAGATGTAATTATTTTTATTTTTTCTAACACAATAAGTAGATCACTCTGTTCCAAAGTACTACTGCTATAGACAAGAGGGGTTTGGGCTCAGTGTGGATGCACAGGACCCCAAGGGTCACATCACCTTAGAAAGCAGCATAGATCCCACCTTGAGCAGGTTTTTATGTTAATCAATAAAACCTGAGATACTGTATAGAACACGATAAAGAAGAAAACAGGAATGGATTAATCATAATATGATAAGTGGTGGGTAGAGTATATACTGAAGATAAGTCTTTGGTAGCTCTTAAAAGGTCCCCAGATAACTTCAGAGAACTGTGGGTGGCAGGTTTTTCTACCTGTAAAAGTTTGCTTATTCTTACAAGTAAAATAATAATTTTCTTACAGAAAATGTCTATAGAATTTGATATTTCTTCTAAATTACACCTGCTGATCTGTAAAGTAACCCCATTTTCAGACTTCATTCAGTAGCACCAACATACAGTAGTGGTACTTAGATTTGAGAAATTAATTAATATTATTTTAAGGAGCTGTTTAAAGGTAAGATTTTATTTGTGTTTCTAACCACCTAGGCAAGGACTGAATGGCCTAAGAATGTTTTGCTTGGGTCTTATTATATTATATTAATGCCTTTCTGCAATGTGTCTGCTCATAGATTCTGTACATTATTAATAATTGCTTGCTCCAAACACAACAAAAGCCAGAGTGTTCCGTACAGGACTTACTTGTCAAGGTCTATGAGATAAAGGCCACCTTGTGCTGGAATTTGTAAAGGCAAATCAATATGGAGAACAACTCCTGAAAGAGCTCAAAGGGGATTTGAACAGAAGGGCCTTGGTTTGCAATATTCAATAGATTTCTTCTTTCCGCTGTGGAAAACTCATACAAAATCCAGAGCACATAATGAATGTGGTTTCCAGAAATAAAAATAACTGCTCAATCAAATAATGAAGTCTTACCTACAAAGCTAAAATTCCCTCTGTCACTAATTATTATGTGAAGCATCCAACTCTCAGATAGAAGTTTATTTTTCCTCCAAAGAGGCTGACGTATTTGTAGAGGAAAATGCATGGATATTATGGGTTTTTTTTTCAGCTTCAGCGATTCAATCATTCTGACTGTTGGCAAGTCTGTGAGAGTTAACTACTGTTTGATTTGACAGCTTGGATGTTTTTAATTTGCTGCTTTTACAAAGCCTGGCTAAATAATGACAGCAGGTGTAGCTCAATATTTTCTCTAAAGGAAGCAGATGACTGTCAAGGGAAAAAACAATTGGCACTAAAATGTCAGAAGAGGTTCTCTGAAGGTTTCTGAAGCATTCTTGTTTTATAACATGTCTAACTGTCCTTCCACCCAGCTTTCTGTCTATAGGGAAAATATGAATATCAATTAGCTTTGGCTGTTTCATAACACTAGAAAACACAGGAGTTTATGCAGAAATATTGAATTCTGTTTTACATATTTAAAGTCAATGCAAACAGTCAAGGAGTTTAGATGGCTCTGATTTCTAGTGATGTGAAACATAGCTAATTAATCTTTACATTCCCATAATTAATTCAGACTTGCTTTTAGAAAAAAAAAGGAATATAATACGAACAAACAATATAATATGAATAAGAATAATGAACAAATAATTTCAAGCCAGTTGTGAAATTTCTTCAAAGTGAGTCAGTGAGCCTATTTGTCTATAAGATACTCTGTCAGCTTTCACTTTATGATTAATATGCATGTGCAATAGAACTGTCTGTTTCCTTACTTACGTCTGGCTAAGATCTCCACCTCATTTGCTGTACAGGAGAGTGCTAGCTGCTTGTACAGTATATCTGATATGCTGATTATGGTGTCTAGAAAGCACTTTCAGTACTCCTCTCTAGCTAAGCCAAAGCATGCACTTTGTATAAATGAGCATCACAACTCTATTTATAAGTCCGGCGAAGCTCAGTAAGTGTCACGGATGTCGGAAGGCCAAGCCGTGGAATGACAGTGAGAGCAGTAAAGACCCTATGCATAGCGGTAAAAGGGGCATCACGACGGTTAGCCCAGGCTCAGGGGGTCAGACGATGTCAGAACAGAAACCTATGCCCTCAGGCCACGGACAGGAGCGACCTGGTGCTAGGCGGGTCTCATGACACTCGTACCCTCAATGCTGAGCCAGGAGCAGAGCAGACACAGAAAGTAAATAGGCTACACAACAAGACACACTGGAAAGACATGAATAATCATGAAGGAACTAGGAACAGGGCAAAGGCAGAGCGCCCTCTAGGTGTACAGGGCGTGACAGTACTTTGT